TGTTGTTTGTCTTCTGCCTCATTCTTGTCTATGTCCTCATCTGATAACTGGTCATCTTCAAGTCCACTCTGAGAAGACATCCTTTGTTGTTTGTCTTCTGCCTCATTCTTGTCTATGTCCTCATCTGATACCTTATGCTGAATCATGCTCAGAGGCAAGTCCTTTGAAAGACAGTCTTCAGAACATTCCCCTCCAACATCTCTCTCGTTTTGATTTTCCTCCATTACCTGAACTTCCTTCTGCTCTAATGATTTTTGACGTTTATTGATCAAATCCCTCAATCCTTTTCGATTGTTGGTCCATACAACCCACAGCCAATGACGGTGTTTCTTATCATCATGACCAAAAAGGATTATAGCGAGTTCCGACCAAATATATGAAGAATGTCCTGTATCTCTTTTGGTAATGTGAACACTCTTCAGTCCTCGGACCAATGCTTCCATTCCACCAGCCATTGCCCATAAGTCCTTCCTCTGGGCCCTCTTTCCTTTTTTAACTCTTCCCATTATTTTCAAACTTCCTCTAACCTAAAGGAGGAAAGGCAAAGCGAAATAGTTTTTCTCAATATAAAAAGATAAAAATTAAACTTTTTAGAAGCACATATAATAAAAAACTGTGTTCAAATATGTAACACTAAGTTGGGTTTTTGTTTTGGTTTGCAAAAATAGTCATTTGTCATTTTAAAATGTGTAATATTACATCACAGGAACAAATAACATTTGTTTGTAGTTTTAATTCAGTAACATTTCAGTTGATCAAATACTAACTAACTTCAGCTAGGTTAATAAAAATAAAAAAACATAATTTTTTTTATTTAATCTGAATGATGGCTTGTTAAAGTATAAGAAACATGTTTTGGTTAAGCTCAGGATATTATGTTTAAATAATTCCACCCTGTTACTGTGAAAAATAGTAACAGGGTAGACGGTAACAAGGTGGGCATTTCATGCTAAACTTGGCTATTGCTACATGTGTGATGATAATCAAGCTAGCACTTGTGACAACAGAGAAAGATATTTGATAGATATATTCACATTTTTTTCTAAATGTAAACATTTTGATCAGTTTCCACACAAAATGAGCATAACAGGGTGGACATGTTATGCTTTACCGCAATAGTTAAGTTCGTTAAAAACATTAAAAAATCGTTGAAGGAAGAGTGCATACTTACTCTGCTTCTTGAAGATGATTTTCCCACTCAAAATGTATCCTTCTTCTTGAGTCATACAAATAGTAGAATAGTAAAGGGGCGTGTCCAGAGGGATTCAAATCAGAGTAACAGGGGGGACATTAAAACAGGGGACACACACTTTAAAAAAAAATTAAATCAAGAAAATTGAATTAACAACAATTTAAATTTGGTGAGGAATATTAATAAAAGGGTTATACAATAGTGACAAAAATGTAGAATTTGATTTCTTTGTTTATATCTGTTAGAGAAGTTGAGCAAACATGATTTGGGACACAACAATTTGGCCTACTTGTGCTAAAATCAGACTAATTATTTAGCATTTTGAATATCCTGGGTAAATAACATTGATGTTTTATAGTAGAGGGTAATAAAAATGTAAAACCAAGCTTTTAAAAATAAGCATTTGACCTTTTAAATGCAAAATATATGATATAATGTGTTGGGGACCTAACCACCAGGAGACTATTGATGTGTGTAGTGAGTTTGGGAGACATATACTGTATAATAGTGACGCTATTGAAGATTATACCATATCTATTGAAGATTTTACACTATAAATATTCACCAAAATTATTCAAAAGCACATTCTTCCAAACTCTCTGCTGTAGTCCAACCACCAGGAGACTATTGATGTGTGTAGTGAGTTTGGGAGACATATGCTGTATAATAGTGACGCTATTGAAGATTATACCATATTTATTGAAGATTTTACACTATAAATATTCACCAAAATTATTCAAAAGCACATTCTTCCAAACTCTCTGCTGTAGTCCAACCACCAGGAGACTATTGATGTGTGTAGTGAGTTTGGGAGACATATACTGTATAATAGTGACGCTATTGAAGATTATACCATATTTATTGAAGATTTTACACTATAAATATTCACCAAAATTATTCAAAAGCAAATTCTTCCAAACTCTTTGCTGTAGTCTGACCACCAGGAGACTATTGATGTGTGTAGTGAGTTTGGGAGACATATACTGTATAATAGTGACGCTATTGAAGATTGTACCATATTTATTGAAGATCTTACACTATAAATATTCACCAAAATTATTCAAAAGCAAATTCATCCAAACTCTTTGCTGTAGTCTGACCACCAGGAGACTAATGATGTGTGTAGTGAGTGTGGGAGACATATACTGTATAATAGTGACGCTATTGAAGATTATACCATATTTATTGAAGATTTTACACTATAAATATTCACCAAAATTATTCAAAAGCAAATTCATCCAAACTCTCTGCTGTAGTCCAACCACCAGGAGACTATTGATGTGTGTAGTGAGTTTGGGAGACATATACTGTATAATAGTGACGCTATTGAAGATTATACCATATTTATTGAAGATTTTACACTATAAATATTCACCAAAATTATTCAAAAGCAAATTCATCCAAACTCTCTGCTGTAGTCCAACCACCAGGAGACTATTGATGTGTGTAGTGAGTTTGGGAGACATATACTGTATAATAGTGACGCTATTGAAGATTATACCATATTTATTGAAGATTTTACACTATAAATATTCACCAAAATTATTCAAAAGCACATTCTTCCAAACTCTCTGCTGTAGTCCAACCACCAGGAGACTATTGATGTGTGTAGTGAGTTTGGTAGCACTCCACTGTATAATAGTGACGCTAGTGAATATTATTGAATATTATTGTATTCTCTTTTTTCGGAGTTGCACTTTGCAGACGGTCCCTGAGCACTCATTCCTTTTCCGGCTGCAGATAGAGACCAATGTAATTTGTCCAGTTTTGAGGACGGCGCATATTGGCTTTTTTTTTTATCAACATGTGATTGTAGTTCGTTGTCAACCTTACCACGATACTTAGGAGACGTCATTTGTGTCTGAATAACATTTTGTTCATGAGTTATTGATCCGTGAAATCCGAATCTGCCAATATCGTTCTAACTTTACTCAACTCGACTTCTCCAACCTTATGCTTTGCTTCAGAGTGCCGTGGTTCATGTGTTTCTGCAGCATTTACCGACCGCTGCAGTGTTGGCTGCTCTTCCACGGGAGTTTATTCTCCTCCGTTAGCTCCCGGTTAGCTCACACTGTGACTGCAGCGGCCGCTCTAAAGTATTCACTGTCCGACTCACACAAGCAGCTGATACATATCCCCAGTTCCCCTTAGCCTAAGTGAATGTGTGTTAGTCTAAATTGACGCTGTTTGGCATCACAACGCTGTTATGAAAGTTTCTCTGGTATAAAATGGGTGATGTTAGCATAGCAACCGAAGCTAAACTGACTACTTGCTATTGCTATCCTATTGTGGCATAAACCGTTTTCTACAGGCACATTTTACCGGCGTATTTTTATTATGATTCTACTTGTGATAGTCGGACACGACAACCTGTGCAGCCCATGTATTGATTCCATCTGATAGCTGCTATAATACAAAACAACACATCTGCCTATCTCCACAATGATCAATAACAATGAACGAATGGTCAAAGTAAGGTACAAATAAACAGAATCACACGAAGCCTGGTTAGTGTTGCCTGACTTTATAAAGTGTGTTTATAAGCACTACTGCTTGTAGGCAGGCACGACAGTCGACCCATGTTCAGGGGAGGAGGGTTTAGTTTCCTGCACGCCTCGACGTAAGAGAAACGTAAGCGACGCCACCTCTTAGCTCCGAAGCTCCTGCCTCTAGACCGACAATTTTTTGGAGCTGGAAGTGAACCGGATTCCGGAGCTAAGAGCCGGTGCCGCTGCGGTGTGAACAGGAAAAACCGGCGCTTTTCAGGCTCCAGCTGCGAGCCGGAGCTGGAAAAGCGCTGGTGTGAAAGGGGCAACAGAGGGTGACTGGCTGTCTACATGATGTGGCCTGGCGACATGGCCACTTTCATACAGATCATAATAATGCCCTGAGGGTGTGTGTATGTGTGTCGCGAGCGAGCGAGCGAGAGAGAAAGCGCGCACACCGGTTACGTGTATTGTTGTTGTTAGCATCTGGTGCTAGCTAGCTGCGCTAACGGATATCATGAGCTGTCAACAAGGTGGAGGAGAGTCCTCTCCTGTCAGACTGAGAGACTGATAACTACAGCTCAGGTGAGGTAAAGTGTTTAGATAGTTAACTTAGTCTAAGTTCTCTGTGGGTCTCAAACGGTTTGGTCACCATTTATGTAAACACATATTTCCATTTGAAAGGGGAGTGATTAGTAAAATATGGATGAATAATAAAACTAGGTGAAAAAAGGTAAGATAAACTTTAAAAACGTGTTGAGAGCTAAAACTAGTCTTTGCTGCTGCCTCAACAAGGAGCAGGGGGAGAGGAGGGAGACAGGTGAGGCTGATTCAGGCTATTCAAGGCTATATTCGAGGCTATTCGAGGCTATTCAATATCCTTATCAGGGGCTATAAACAAACAAGTCGTAAAAGATAAGAGGGTCCGTAGGTTTTCGGATTAGGGGGTCTCAGGTTCAAACCCCACTGCAGTCAGCATGTCGTTGTGTCCCTGGGCAAGACACTTCACCCCAAATTGCTCCTGTGGGGATTGTCCACAGTATTGAGTATGTAAGTCGCTTTGGGTAAAAGCGTCTAATAAGTAACATGTAATGTAATGATCAATGCATCTGTAGCTTAAAAACACCAAAATGCCCCGTAGTGCTGTGGGCATCACAGATAATTTTTCTCTGTGGGTTGATTTTGGACATACAAATATTGATTAGTGCAGCTGAAAACATGTTGATTTATTTGTCAAATTGACATGTGGTGCATTATAAAGTTATTCTTAATGAATTTGACTGTGATTTGAATATCTTTTTCCTTTTCTCCACTGCAAACAGACTGCCGGCAAATATACAGTGACTGCTGACTATGAGCAGGGCGGCGCTGAAGAGCTCTCATTGAAGAGCGGAGACATGGTGGAGCTGGTCAAGGAGGGGGAAGACGGACAGTGGTGAGAACACAGCCTTACTGCGGCCTATCAGAAACTTTAAAAATATATTTATATCGGAAATGATTATTTTAGTGTTTGTGTGGTCATTCAGGTTGGTGCGTAACCTGAGCAGCTCCACAGAGGGCTGGATCGCTGCTGCTAGTCTCATCACACTCATTGGAAAATCCAAGTCCTGCCAGTCTCTCACCAGCTCAGGTATTCATATAAACAATCCCAAATAGAGATTAAGGCACATGAACAGATTTTAAGCAACAGTACCTCAATATGTGTGTTTCTCCCAGAAGGCAGTGGCTCTGGAAACCTCAGCACGTCGTCCAGCTGCAGTGAAACCTACACAAACTTCCCGGACATCAAACCCTGAACTCCTGCACTTCCTCCTCACCAGACTGCCCTCGTGAATGCTTGCATCTGTGCTTTGTTGCCAACATCAGAAGAATTCTTGTAATTTTATTCCACAGAAAGCTGTATTTTTTTTTTAAACATCATGCACACACCAATTCTTAAGATAATGTTATACATGTGCACATGTTAGGGACGTGAATTGTGTGGTGAAGAAACTGAATATATCAAAACATCACAGACACAGTAATGGCACATTTCCACTGCAGTGGGGTAGCCCCGTTTAAGCGTCCCTAAGCGTCCTTGCTCAGGCCTCGCTGCCTCGCTAGCCGTCCGAGGCCGTGGCGCATTTCCATTACAGTTTAGGACCTGGGGTAGCAACGCAGTGTAGGCGAGGCGATCGGCTTTTTGGCGGGCTTTTTGGGCGGAGCGACGCTGGGTAAAACTGCAGTGGCGTCATCTTCAATGTGACACAACTCACAAAACACACACAACAATGGAGGATGTGGAAGCGATCGTTTACTTGTTTCTTGCTGTGTATAAAAATGCTGCAAGCTTGCTTCTAGATATATATGCGACGCTAGGGATGATCTCGCGCACGATCTTGTGACGATTCTCTCTGACCAATCAGCAGTCGAGAGTGTTGACGTCACTAGTTCAGCTCTGGCCCGGCCTGATAGAGCCACGATTTTATGGGGCCGGGAAAAGAGGGTACCCGCTAGCCGGTGCTACGCAATATGGAAAGGCCACCAAAAACTGGCCTGGCCGCTTGAGGACGATTAAGGACGCTTAAACGGGGCTACCCGCTGCAGTGGAAATGCGCCATAAGTATAGTCAAAGGATCTTCCTCCAGTCATACACTTCCTGTCTGTTTTTTTCAAATGAAGAACCCTCTGTTCATAATGTAATGAAGTATGAATGGGCCAGCAGGACTGATCTCAGTTGATGCATCCATGTGTGTTCCCAAGTGGGGGAAGATGTGTGATTATATGCAGATGACAGTTGTCTTTGTATAATCTGCAGTAATTGACCCAGGCAGGAGTTTATAAATCCACTGTTACTGTAAATAAAACCGGAGAGAGATAAATGCAGCTGGTTTAGCTTGAATGGATGTTTTCTCAGTGTCTACTCACCCTCTCCTCTGCTTTGCCCTTTAATATATGTTTATTTATTTTTACGAAACAACAAAGCCCACTTGTATTTAGTCACTTTATAATTTTCCTGCTTCTCTTACTGTCTTTTTACTCTGTTGTCTGTCTCTCTGTTGTCATTAGAAACCTGTTCTGCCACCAGCTGCCCAGACTTTGTGTTTTTGGGGTCTCTTACGGCCTCATGGTCTAACTCTGTGAGTTTTCATGTACGCTACAGTTTAAAAAAGCTTCTCCATGTGGATAATCAGAGGTCACTGTAAAGCGCTAACTTATTCCCCGTGGAGGGATCACGTTCTGAATGTAGATATTGTTCATTACTTTCCGTCTGTCATGAAATGTTTGTTATTTGAGATGCTATATTATACATTAAGTATGGTGCGTCACTACTTTGTGACTTGTCATTTTTTTTTTACATAAACGACTTATGATGAATCAGTCACTGTCTCTTGGACTTCCTTTCAGTCTTTTATTTTCATACAAAACATACAAAGAGCATGTTGAATGTCACGTTTTCTTATAAATTAAACTACCCAACAGTAAATACTTGCAGCACTAAAGCTATTAGTCGATTTATTAATTAGTGGATTGACTGCAATTGATTTATCGGATACTATTTTGATCATTGTCAAGTCACTCTAAATGTAAACATGACAATTATTTTATGATCACAGTTTTTCAAATATAAGGATTTGCCAATTTTCCCTTTTTTATTATTTAAATGCATATTTAATAGTTTTGTGAGACGCATTTCTCAAACCAAACAAAGGATCCTGTCCTGTAGAAAATGGTTAAAATTGCACTCACTGCAACAAACTTCACTTCTGCTTTTAAATAACTAAATGGATAATGATATGATAATTGTGTAATATGTTATAGTAAAAAAGGCCATTTCCCCCATTGATTACTTTTAAAACTTTAAGTACTTTTTCCTGATTATACTTAGAACCTAAATGCATGACTTTCACTTCTAACACAGTATTTCTTCATCGTGATAGTACTTACTTTTAGTGAATATGGGAGGAGAAAATGTAAATGCCATTACCACGTGTCATTATTGCTCATTATGAACGCATATCCGTTGTTCTAATCTATAGCTATACAGTCAATTATGACTCACAAAGGACTGACACAGCTGGAGAGGAAAGGTCTTCAGCACCATAAATGAAACTGAAACTGTTCAACTGGGTTGCCAAGTTTGATCGTTTTACTTGTTTGTAACCTCAAAGTCAACTTTATTGTCAATCTTTCAGTTTGTGTGTACAGACGGTACAGACAGAGAGATCTAAATACTGTTTCCCACAATCCCGAATATAAAAATACAAATATGTATAAAATATGTATATCCTATATATAGACAATTAACAGCGTTAGTATTAAACTGAAATTAGTGGTTCCATGTAATGAAGTACCCTACATCAATAACATTTAGAATTGTTGCCAAATTGTGATGATAATACGTATGAAACCAACTTCTAAGTTAGAATTAAAATGCACCACTCTTACTAGTAGCAGAGTATTAGAACACTTTGGTATTGCTATTTCTACATGAAAGATCTGAGTACTTCTTTCAACATATACTAAAATCCTCACTACGGTCCATTGATACTACTCAGATAGAAACACTTTGGTCTGAATACTCCATTTCAAGTAAAACTTCTGAATTGAAAATTCTACTCTACTCGGGTAGAAAGTAAGAACACAATCAGCTAAATGTAGTTCAAGTATGATAGGTGGACCAGGTGGTCATGGTGATAGGTGGGCCTCTTTCCACAAAACTAAATGAATAACTCACTAGCATGGCTTAAAACACATGATTATATAAAACAGATTCTACAGTATAGTAGCCTACTAAATCATATCATGCAGATCATGTGTATTCAAAAGTAAGCTTGTAGCTATAGAAGCTAATTTCCGCCATAGAAAAAAACAATGTATCCTGTCAATCATTATTATGACTTATTTATCTCTATAATATGACTTACTATCTCAGTAATTAGACTTATATCTCATTATTATGACTTACTATCTCATTAGTATATCAGTATATAGGCCTACTGTTATTTTTGTTGATTGTAGTTTTTTTTATCTAGGTCTTAATGTGTGCACATGTAAAAACGTCTTTGACTGTGTATATATATACATATTTGCACAAATATTTTACATATTTTGATATAGGCTACATTTGTTTTTATATTCGGGATTGTGGGAAACGGTATTTCGATCTCTCTGGTTGCGTTCCGATAATCCAAAAATCAGCTCCTAAATTCTAACCCTATCTCCTATTCCTTGACCTCTGAGTGAAACGTCACGGGGTTAAGGGATAGTGGATAGGAGAATTTAAAAGGACTCACTTTGGCAACTTACCACATACGTTTTAAAATGCTTAATAAGCACCGTAACTTTCATGATATCATTTCTCGGTCATAATCGGTTGTTTCCGTGAACGGCCGACTGTTGAGTGACGGCAAATGCTGCGGCTGCAATGCATTGTGGGGCAGCATTTTCTCCTCTCCTTTCGGTTAGGGAGGTCCAGTGGTTCCTAAACTAAAGGAGGTTATAAAGGAAGTTTGAAACCTCCTTTCCTTTCATTTGGAGAATTGGAACGGCACTTATCATGGCTGCCAGTGACGTACTTCCGGGTCATTTCACTCCGTGAGGAAGGTTCCTAAACTAAATGGACTGCAACCTCTGTCTGTGCACACAAACTGGAAGACTGACAATAAAGTTGACTTTGACTTTGATTTTGACTTATTTAGACTTACCATCTCATTGTATAGGCTTACTATTTAGACTTTAATTAGACTTTCTATCTCATTAATTAGACCTACTATCTCGTTATTTCTAACTGACATATAAAGAGATTGGGGGCTTTAGGCACATCGTTGAGGGGGATATTTCGAACAATACCTGGCAACCCTCTACTACATTTGATTTGACTGGCGGGCGACGGACAGAGGAGAGGAAGTAGCTTTGAGCAACGGTTGTGAACTAAACACTTACTTTAAACAATCAACGAGTTTATTAGCAGTGAATCTGGAGACATGCACGAAGATGACAGGCTGCTCTGTATACTTTGTCAGCGGTCCGAACAGACGAAGATCACAGGAGCATTATCCACCAAAGAGGACGTCACGGCCCACCAGAACTGTTTGGTAAATATTCAAAAATATGTATGCTTTAATTGTCTTTTACTACTTCTAAAGAGATTTATGTTAGCTAGAGAGGTAAAAGTGGGAAGCTATGTTTAATATACGGCCTTTATGGAGATGCTAAAAGGATAAACAGGCAGGAAGCAGATGTGGGAGAAGTACTCAGATCTTGTAAAAGTACAAGTACCAGAGTGTGGGAATACTCTGTTACAAGCAGGGGCGGCGCCAGGGGGGAGCTAGGAGGTGCTGAAGCACCCCCCAGGATTGCCAAAGCACCCCCTAAGCACCCCCAAGAAATATGTTTTTTTTAATTTTTTTTACTATTATTATTATTATTAAATTAGAAAAATTATTGATTACATCAATGCATATGTGAAACAAACACATTTTTGTTACCAAAAACATAAAGCCAACACAGGTGATATGATTAGGCCAATGGCCAGCACCCATTCGACTTTTGACCTACTCATAGGCTAAATTACTTTGTGACACTTGAGTGACTTCCTGTTAGCTAGAGCGCCAAATGATTTGCTAACAGCAATGTGAAAGATGGATCGTTTTTTAGTCCTTAAAAGTCCACGTGTGGACATTCAATCAAAACCACCTGAAAGCGAGAGGGATTCTGCACATAATAGCCTAGCGTTCTGAGTACAAGTAGCTTCTCTGGTCTCTGTGTTTCATTCAAGCTCTGCTCTGTGTGTGTGTGGCACGAGCCATTTTGTGTGCGTGTGTGCGCGAGCGAGAGAGCTCGCCTCGCGCACCTGTAGGTATCTACTGGAGATCGTTGTGGTTAGCATCTGGTGCTAGCTAGCCAAGCTAACGGGTATAAGGAGCTTTTTCAACAACAAGGTGGAGGGAGAACTCTCTCCTGTCAGACGGAGAGTCTCAGATAACCTCAGCTCAGGTGAAGTAAAGGACTCTCAGTGTTTAGATAGTTAACTTTAGTCTAGTTATCTCAGTGGGTCTCAAACGATTAGTTTTAAAAGGGTGTGTGATTTGTAAAATGTCTATGAAGAAATAGAAAATCTGTTTACAGTTCTGTTTCATATGGGTGTTGAGAGATGTATCCATAGATCTCTTAATGTTGCTCTCAAAGTGCACCAGATTGATGCTTTTAACTTCAATATTTAAAAAGATCTTCCAGGGGGAGCATGCCCCCGGACCCCACTAGAGGAGGTGAGGTCTACCCCCCACTTGTAAAAATAGCACTTTACCCCTGCTTACACCTATATGCCGTGAGCTGATTATCGAGCCTTCATTGTAACAGTCGTGGGTGCACTGTGTGTGCGTGTGGGGAGTGTTGCATTAGAAAATTCAACTGTAGCGCTGGTGCATTAATGGGAAACCCTTAATGTTTGAGCACCCTCTATGAAACGTCAAGCTACCCCACAGTACCCCCTATAGAAAATCTCTGGCGCCGCCACTGGTTACAAGTACAAGTCATGCATTCAAAATGTTACTCAAGTACAAGCAGTGGACGACGCTGAAGTTGGCTTCTGATTCAGAGCATCCGATTCGGCAGTTAAGGGAAAAGTTAAGAGACATTTAATTTACAGCGCTGAGCGAACAATCCTCCGTGTTTGAACCTCTTAAATCGCTGCATAGCCGATTTATTTGGACTGGATTATCCCAGAGAGTCTAAAGATTCTTTATAACCCAGTTTGAGATTTGTGAAACCTTAATTCTATTTGTGAAAATACAAACAAGGGAGATTTCAGTGCTTTTTTTACATGTAGACCACATTAGACCAGGTCCTGATCTAAAACCACTAGACCTACACTCATCAAATCTGGACTGGATCATCCCAGAGGGTCTAAAGATTCTTTATAACCCAGTTTCAGATTTGTGAAACCTTTATTCTATTTGTGAAAATACAAACAAGGGAGATTTTGCTGCTTTTTAAAAAATCCAGACCACATTAGACCAGGTCCTGATCTCAAACCACTTTTCCTAGACTCGTCAAATCTGGACTGGATTATCCCAGAGGGTCTAAAGATTCTTTATAACACAGTTTCAGATTTGTGAAACCTTTATTCTATTTGTGAAAATACAAACAAGGGAGATTTCAGTGCTTTTTTTACATTTAGACCACATTAGACCTGATCTGAAACCACTAGACCTACACTCATCAAATCGGGTAAGTATGGACAGCTAATTAAGGAAGAATAAAGTCTTTACTTCTCAAATTTATTATAATTTTTTGTTGCAAATAAAAATTCAACAGATAAGTAGGTATACTTATATAAACTTACAGTAATGTATTTACAGTTGCAGGCAAAACATTTCAACAGGAAATTAAATATAGTCTATAACTATATCTAGCATTGTTCAAGTTTACTTTAAGCAACAAGCTTTGTTTGCCTAATTACAGTATGTCATCTTGAGTACTAGGATTGCTTGGAATGTGAAAAACATTACAAGATTAGAAAATAACACTTTGGTAACAATGGTATGAGAAAGTTGGTTCATTGTAATCCTGTCTTCTCTCTCAGAAAAATAATTGCTAATCATATTTTGCTTTAGGACAAAGCAGCAGAAGCTGTTCAAAGTGGATGAAAGACTGAAGGTTAGCCTTTATCTCATGAACCTGAATTCCTTTAACATCTCTTTCATTTTTTTGTTTGCTATGAAACAGTATTTAAGATACGAAAACGTTGTAGATAAATAATTATCACCTAAATGAGGAGCACTTATTTTTATTTATTTATTCATTTGTTTAACAGGGACAGTGCACATTAATTAACATTCCTGTAAATGTGCCAGAGTTAGCCAAGAGGCTATTTTTCATCTGTTGTCCCTGGACAGATTTTATAAGTGAACCGAAAACAAATTTCATTTAAACAAGTAAATACAATCAAATTAAAACATGCAACATACATTACTGGAATACTTAAATAAATAAAAAGACAGAACAATAAAACAAAACAAAAGAGCATGTTGTGACGACCCCTTCTGCCTGTCTGTGCTCCCTGCCTTGCTGTCCTCTGGCAGGTACTGGGAGTGTCGTCCTGTTTGTGCCCGCCCATCTAGAGGCGGAGCCTCAAGAAGGCATAAAGGCTTGCCCAGCTGGCAGGTTCACTTTCTGATCCTGATCCTGGCCTGCTGCAGCAACCTCAGCCTTCCACCTGTGTTTGTATTTTCACAAATAGAATAAAGATTTCACAAATCTAAAACTGTGTTATAAAGAATCTTTAGACTCTCTGGGATAATCCAGTCCAGATTTGATGAGTCTAGGTCTAGTGGTTTTAGATCAGGACCTGGTCTAATGTGGTCAGGATGAGAAAAAAGCACTGATATCTCCCTTGTTTGTATTTTCACAAATAGAATTAAGGTTTCACAAATCTGAAACTGTGTTATAAAGAATCTTTAGACTCTCTGGGATAATCCAGTCCAGATTTGATGAGTGTAGGTCTAGTGGTTTTAGATCAGGACCTGGTCTAATGTGGTCTACATGTAAAAAAAGCACTGAAATCTCCCTTGTTTGTATTTTCACAAATAGAATAAAGGTTTCACAAATCTGAAACTGGGTTATAAAGAATCTTTAGACCCTCTGGGATAATCCAGTCCAAATAAATCGGCTATGCAGCGATTTAAGAGGTTCAAACACGGAGGATTGTTCGCTCAGCGCTGTAAATTAAATGTCCCTTAACTTTCCCCTTAACTGCCGAATCGGATGCTCTGAATCGGAAGCCAACTTCAGCGTCGTAAGCAGTGGCGACTGGTCATTAGCAAGCCCCCAGGAAGTGCGTCGGACTCAGATGAAAATATTCGTGGTGGCCAAACGGCGGTACTACACTTCCGTTTGGTTGCCAGGCCCGGAAACACTTTTTCCCATTGACTTACATGGGGAAAGAGTGGTCTGTAAATCGTTGGATACTTTTTTTTAAACTAAATAAACTACCCAGTATGAACACTTGTATAGCCCTTATTAAAAACATTCGTTCCTCAAGTTGTAAAAATTTGCTAATAACGTTATTCTGATAGTTATTTCCCTCTGCATTATGAACGCGCATCTAACCCACGGGACCGCGCCGCCCGGCACGTTCATGTTACGTGTTCAGCATGGTCCAGACCAATCAGAGCACACTGTGCTCACAGGGAGGGTGGGGGCTGGAGCTACAACGAGCCTTTAGTTTAAAGGCAGAGAGTGAAATTCAGTGAATACAATACACGTAGTTTACAGAGATGCTGTATGAGAAACCAATGTGAGTTGCGTTTATCTTTACCCATGGATGGATCCATATCGTCTTACTGCCATCCCACGGAGCTGTAATAATGGATATATTGCACATGTTTGCTGTAATTCATTATTATACTACATGGGTTATGATTCAAAAGACCTCATGAAAGACGATACAAAAAGTGAGGATACCCGGCCCGGAGGAAGCCCGGGGTCCCCTTCTGGAGCCAGGCCCAGAAGGAGGACTCGTCGGCGAGCGTCTGGTGGCCGGGCTTGCCACGGAGCCCGGCCGGGCCCAGCCCGAAAAGGCAACGTGGGCAACACCTCCGCTTCTCCGTCCCGCGGGCCCACCACCTACGGGAAACATCAATGGGGTCGGGTGCGCTGCCAGAAGGGTGGCAGTGAAAGCGGAGGGTCTCGACGGACCAGACCCGGGCGACAGAAGCTGGCTTTGGGGACGTGGAACGTCACCTCTCTGGGGGGGAAGGAGCCGGAGCTTGTGCGGGAGGTGGAGCGTTACCAGTTGGATCTGGTTGGGCTCACCTCTACGCACAGCGTCGGCTCTGGAACCTTACTTCTGGATAGGGGTTGGACTCTATTCTTCTCCGGAGTTGCTCAAGGTGTGAGGCGCCGGGCGGGTGTGGGGATACTCACAAGTCCCCGGTTAGGTGCTTCGTTGTTGGAGTTTACCCCAGTGGACGAGAGGGTCGCCTCCCTACGCCTGCGGGTTATGGGGGGGAAAACTCTGACTGTTGTGTGTGCTTATGCACCCAACAGCAGTTCAGAGTATACGGCCTTCTTGGAGACCCTGGAAAGAGTCCTG